ACAAATTAAATTTTTTTTTAGTAAAAACAAAACAAAACAACCAAAAAAATAAAACAAAAACCCACAACAAAACACAAAACATATAACAAACAAAACAATTTTTTTTAGGAAGATGGGTATGTGGGCTGTGGTTGAGTTTTTGTTCTGGGTAGGGCCTAAGGATGCCCATATTTAAACTAAAACCCCACAATCAAGTGATTCATACTGTTGACAAAGAACCAAGCCATAGTACTATGGCAGTGACATAATCATGTGTAAGACCGGGCTTTTACTTCTCCCTTGCTTGAACCAAGTCACCTTGTCTGAGAACCCCATCTGTTTTGCCCCAACGACTTGTGTCAGTTGACAGGGAACAAGCCCAACCACAAGAGCTCGGTAAACTTAGCTAAACCTGTAGAGGTTTCCAATTCTTTGAAGAGAATCGTCCTTGGGGTACATATATGCATTTTCTGCGGCTGAAAATGTCATGTGACAGTTGTATTAATGTTTTAATACAAATATTGTACAATAAATAAAATCTTTTTATCTATTATACGCCCCCCACCATGCGCAGCCAACCAGGTAAGCACCTAGGCCTGTATCATCATTCCTTCTGCTGAATAAATCAGTGAACAGACTTGCGGAGAGGTGGGTGGCCCTACCCCAAGGACGATTCTCTTCAAAGAATTGGAAACCTCTACAGGTTTAGTTAATTCTTTTTCACAGAGGTCGTCCTTGGGGTACATATATGCATTAACTCAGACTCCCAAAGACCGGAGGCTAGGGAGGAGGGGATTCTGTCAAAGTACACATAAATAGCGATCGTTAGGAAGAATGTAACAGACGCCACAACACTCACCTGTCACGTGTCCCGAAGCTTCCGTGAGAGGCATGATGGGAGTGTAACCGACAGGGAGGAAAGTACTAAGATCTGACCTCATAGGTTAAGCAAAGCAAAAAAAACCGCCCACATCGTGAATCTATTATAAGATCACCGTAAGGGGGGAAACCTAACTCACAACTGACCATAATCTCCCCAGAGAATCGAAAGGAGTTAAATATGATAACAGCGGATATATCAATGATACACAATTGAAAGCAACATCAACTGTCCAGATAACCAAGACTCACTCGGTCAGGGTGGCAGAACAAAACGGCCAAAACGTGCACGATCACGTGAGTGTGTATCGAGCTGATAGTGCCTAATAAAAGTGCTAGGCCTGCTCCAATGAGCGTCAGAGCATATCTCTTCAATGGGCAGTGCCGATGCAAAACCCTTTGACGAGGCCACTTCCCTGACCGAATGAGCCTTCAACCCCTCAGGGGGAGGCTTGCCCTTAGCCTGATAAGCAACACAAATGACCGATACAAGCCAGCGTGATAGGGTGTGTTTGCTAGCCGGCATGCCAGCCATCCCGCCATCGTAACAGCAGAACAGATGGGTACCCGTACGGATCTCTTGTGTTCGTTTGACATAGACCTTGAGAGTCTTACGGACATCCAACGGGTGAGTGCTCGTTGGAGAGGTCCCCGATGTGGAAGGCTGGGTAAGAGTAGGAAGTTCGATAGGAGCTGTCACATGGAAAGCGTGATCGATCTTCGGACGGTAAGTATCCGGGAGGTGAATACTGACACGATCTGGATGGAACACAGTCAGCGCCGGGTCTGTTGACATAGCATGTAAGTCGCCTACCCAGATGTTACCGCCACCAGAAATACGGCCTTCCCTGTTAACAGCTGAATGGAAATAGTCGATAGACGTGAGAACGTAGGACTGGACAGCCAATCTAGCACGATTGACAAATCCCAAGGTGGGCTGGTTTGCCTGACAGCAGGTCGAACCCGATCCACGCCAGCTAAAAAGCGCTGCATAAGAGGGTGCTGCCCCAGAAGAGCACCATCGACAGGGATGTGGTAAGTGGAAATAGCGGAGGAGTAGCCCCGAATGGTCGATGCCGCCAAGACTTCTTCCAAACGAGCTTGCAATACTCGGACTAAATTCGCATAGCGGGACCACCTATCCTCATATTGAACGTTTGTCGAATCCCGCCTCGAAGCCAGAATTGTGTCTGCAACTGCTGCAGGAATTCTGCGTGCTTCGAGGCTAGACCTGACAGAGGCCAAGCCACCCACTGAATCCTTGGATTGGGGTATGGCGTGCTGTTCTGAGTGAGAATGTCCGGTCACAAAGGTAATAGAACAGGAGGCTGAGCCAGAAACCTGAGAATTACCGGAAACCAGCTCTGTGACGGCCATAGCGGTGCCAGTATCACAAATAGCCGAGCTGGCTGGGTGGATAGCTGGGAGAGGACCCGGGGAATGAGTGGTAGAGGCAGGAACGCCAACAGCACCTTGCCCGTCCAATCCAGCAGGAAGGCGTCGGAAGCCAACACCCTCTGGTCCGGTATTCAGGAGCAGAACACGGGTATCCGATTCGTCCCGCCGGACGCAAACAGATCCACCTGGAACGATCCATACAACTGGGAGATAACTCCGAATGTCTGCTGGTCGAGCATCCACTCATGCAGGGCCAGGATCTGGTGAGAGAGAGCGTCTGCTCGCACATTCTCCAGCCCCGGAAGATAAACATGTCTCCCGAAGGAGCGCTAGGGACACCGTGCCGCCTTGCTTCAGGATGTATGTCATGGCCGCACGGTTGTCCAACTGAAGACGAACCACCTGGCTCCGAACATGCTCCCAGAAGCGCTCGAAAACCAACCGCACAGCTCTCAGTTCTAAGACGTTGATGTGAAGGCGGGCTTCGTCTTCGGACCAGAGCCCGGACACTGACAGACAGCCCAGAACACACACACCCCAGCCCGTGAGGGACGCATCGATTTGAACTGTAAGAGCTGGCGTCGGAATTTCCACAGGGATCCCCTTGGAGAAATTCCCGACAGTGGTCCACCACTGAAGGTGAGGAGACAACCACCCGAGGACTGTGAGACACTGCTCTAGATCCTCCGAGTGAGCCCACACACTTGCCAAAGCTTGCTGTATAGGGTGCATCCTCAACCGCGCCCGCCACACGACAGATATAGTTGCCGCCATATGACCCAGTAGACGGAGCCAAGTCCGCGCTGGTGCCTGGGTCTGGGAGAGCAACGAAGCATCAACTCCCGTACTCTGGTGACCAGGTGGGGCGACAAAGAGACAAGACCCTTGTGAGTTGTGAACCTCGCCCCGAGAAAAACCAAGTCCTGGGTGGGTACCAGGTCGGATTTCTTGAGGTTGATGATCTAGGCTCGCTGGCTGAGTTAGAGCGCTGAGCAACCAGTCGTCTAGGTAAGGGTAACAACGCTTTCCTTGCGACCTTGCGAGGGTAGCCGGCACTAACATGAGCTTGGTGAACACCCTGGGGGCAGTGGATATGCCGAAGGGGAGCACCGTGAATTGGTAATACATCCCGTCGTAAAGAGAACCGGAGGTACTGCTTGAACGATGGATGAATTGGCACATGTGGATGCGCATCCTTTAGGTCGATCGACGGAAGCCAATCGCCGGGCTGAACAGAGGAGATGGTTGAGGTTGAGAATGGGACGGAACCCGCCGAATAAAACCCCGCCTGTTCCTCGCCCGGAGGTATGCGCTCTATTGCGGACTTGTCCAGCAAAGCCTGAACTTCACCTCGCAGTATACCCGCCTTGACCTGACATGATGGCACCGGAGTGTGACGTATGCCGGTGAACTCTGGCGGGCCTCGCTTCCACAGTGGTAGATGGCCGACACTGACGGTGGATAGCACCCAAGTGATGCTGGTAGCCTTCTCCCACTCTGGCAGGAATAGAGAGAGGCGGCCCCACTGGGATGTGTGGTAAAAGGGCGCGAGTTGTCCCCTGCAGTGGAACTGACTGGGACAGACCCACAGCGACAGCCTGCTGGTGTAACGGGAACGAATAAAGACCATACATACAGTTGTTGAAGTCTTAGACATTCTTCACAAGAGAAGTAAATCAGCTTAGTAACTCGGAACACGTGTGAATGCTTGAGTGACAGCAGAAGGAATGATGATACGGGCCTAGGTGCTTACCTGGTTGGCTGTGCATGCGTAGCAGGGAGGTAACTCCACATGGTGGGGGCCATATAATAGATAAAAAAGAACTTATTTATTGTACAATATTTTTATTAAAACATTGATACAACTGTCACATGACATTTTCAGCCGCAGAAAATGCATACATGTACCCCAAGGACGATCTCTATGAAAAAGAATAATGAGGTTTTGTCCACAGACTGTAGGAGAAAATCAGTCAAGTCGGTTTCTCTTAGCACTTTTTCAAATCTGTTTTTACCCTCCTAGGCTGCGGTTATGACATTCCATACATATTTAGTCCATGTATTGACTGTTAGACAGTCTACGTGAATAAAAACACTAAAAATGAACATAATTAGATAATTTTATTCCAGTATTACAAAATCACATTTCCTGAAAAATGTGTCAAATCACTGCTTCTACTGTGTTAAATATCTAAAGTGACCAGTAACCGGCTGATGGTTCCATGTTACTGTATTTCATGTAGATACAATACTATTTACAAAAGTCTATTATGACCAAACAATCATATTGCACTCAAAGGGTAATCAAGACAGGAAACGTTAATTCTTGCTACAACTGTGACACAGAATGAGATCCCACCTTAAGTTCATGGTGGGCAAGATATTCTCAACAACTCGCTGATCCCATGCTTCACTCTATATAGAGTGTAAGGGAGAAAGTTTTAAGCTGCTTAGAACAGTAATCAAGGAGATTGAGATCGTAATGGAGATTGAGATCCTACCATGATGTGTATGGTAGGCAAGGTATTCTCAACTTATTCATCAACTCCTTGCCGGGAGAGGGAACGTTTGAGTGAGTGAGTGAGTCTAGTTTTACGCCGCTTTTAGCAATATTCCAGCAATATCCCGGCGGAGGACACCAGAAATGGGCTTCACACATTTTGCCCATGTAGTGAATCGAACCCGGGTCTTCGTCGTGACAAACGAACGCTTTAACCACTAGGCTACCCCACTGCCCCGAGAACGTTTTAAGCTGTTTTAATCAGTATTTGAGGTATATAAGGCATGTCAGCTTCATGTGGAAGGAAAGCCCAAAGTGATGCATGTGTTAGACGTTTACGTCTTTGGTCTAGCACATGAGCATGGACTACTGGACAAACCAAGAAACATATATAAGCAAATCGGACCTAGCAAATAGAGTACATTCAACAAAGTATCAGGGTTCCGATCCACAAAATGTTCCCAGTGCTATGCCATTCGTAAGCCTACGATAAACGAAAGAGTTACGACAGGTTGTAACGTTAGGAATGCTTTGTGGATCGGGACCGAGGTAAATGCTGCAATTCCAACCCATGACAATAGGTTACTGGCAAATTCCTGACCACTCATGTAAGGCATCACATATCTTATAATGCCTTCAATTTTTATTTAGCATACTTGGGACATTGTATCTTGTGTGCACATTGTATGCATTAATTTCAAATCTACTTTAATATCAATGTGCATTCGGAGATTGAAATTAAGTCCAGTGTCTAGTTAACATGAGCATCAGAGTGAGTGAGTGAGTGAGGATGGTTTGACGCCGCTTTTTACAATATTCCAGCAATATCACAGCGGGGGGCACCAGAAATGAGCACCTACACATTGAAGGGAATCGAACACAGGTCTTCGGTGTGATGAGCGGACACTTTAACCACTAGGCTACCACCAGATGAGCATCAGAGATCCTGTTAATCCAGACACGAGTTTGTGTCCAGAACTATCTCGGTTAAACCATGATATTTGTCTTGATGGCGTCGGGTACACAGCGACTGACAGGGACTGTACAGTTCACAACTACTGTACACTTCATTATGCAGTATGACATCCTAATGAACAGGCCATTTTGTTGAGTGTCGCTCAAAGAGAGTCTTTCTGAATCCGAACTGGTGACGAAACAAACAGGACAAAATATACTACACACACATGGAGTTGAAAACTAAGCTGGGTCCTGCGGTCCTTGAGGTCTTCGATACTATTCTAACTAGGAACTGACTCAAACAAAAAATGAGCAAGTGAGGTCTTCGGGGTGACAAGTGAATACTTCAATCACTAGGTTACCCCACTGCCCCTCAAATAAAATAGAATCTTAACACTGAAAATATGTCAAGGACCTGTGTCTGTCCTGCTTATTTAGAATTAGTGTTATTGTTATTTAGTGTCCATACTGCTACGTACTCTCTCTGGGAACTCAGTTCAACAAATTTTCAACAATGGATGGCAAACAAGTCTGTCCTTAAAACTAAAATGACCGTTGACTTCCTCATCAGGTTAGTTTTGATGTATTGGACAAAAGGATCCACATGGTGTTGAAATTAACAAAGTGAGTAATTAAAACCTGAAAACATATAACCAATTGGCATCGCCTGTTACAATGCTACCATACAGTAGTGCTTGTAGACATAGACTGTGTCTTGGACATACGTACATAAAAACAGAAAAATGTGAAACAAAAAATAATATAATATCACAGCTAAAACAAAAGAATGATTGTAGTTACCCTCTGACCAATGCTATTAACGAATACAGCTCACTCTTCACTAATCCATCTCTGAGCATCTCAACACCTGGTGTCGACATGAAGCTCGACCTATTTTGACCAATCAGTGGACTGCTGTGACAAGGGAGTGGTCAATCAAAATTATTGTTAAATATCATTATTTATCAGCATTAAATAACAGCATTTATACATCAATGTCTAAATGACATTGTATTTGTTTCAATATTTTACTAAAGGTACATTAACAGAATTCATGTCAGGTACAATCAAAGCTAACACACAATTAGAAGAAAATACTAAAAATTTGTCCATATATCAACTAAATTATGAGTTAGACTTTTACATAGATTTTTGTTGCTGTAATATTTGTAAAACTGCAATGTCGTTTCTAGTGACTGGAAACAAGGGTACACACTAACTATGGAAACAGTTCAACAATAACATGATTCATAGTGTAACATATAAAACACATTGATAAAACATACTGAAAAACCACTGTATCACAGCCGCATCTTGAAGAAATATGTACAAGTTTACAGAGGGGGATTTCATTGCAGACTAGACAGTGAGGTGAGATGGATATAAAAGTTGTGTCTAAGACTACTGAACTTATACAGCGATATGCATACGTGTCACTTTGCTCCTGTCCAGACTAATGCCGGTTTATTGGTGCAAGGCGACTGACACAGTATCCTGACTTGGAGTTCATGAGTCTGTTGTCCTCCCTTAATGCCAAGCACCAGGCTACAAGCAAGTGCTATTTGTAACATACTTTGGCATGAGGCTGAGCTACAAATTTCTTTGAGAGGCATTTTTGAAGTTGTAAAGATGAAGGAAAACGATGATAGTCAACTTCTTTATTGCAATGAGTGTGACGTTTCCGTGTTGGTACTAATATAACTAGCAAGTGCACTACACCTAAATGTCACACTCATTGCAATATGAAAGTAGACTATCCATAGATCTTGGTTTTCCTGAGTGACAAGTGATATTTTTTCAACAATCTTTGGTATGACCAAATAGAGATTGAAACTCCATCACTGCTCTCCAGGCAGACAAAACACTGAGGAAGTTGTAACAACAAGGGGAATGCTCTGCTGGGGTATGCTGTGACAGGTATGTTCATTTGGGAGACACCTAGTCTTTGAATGGTATTTAGAAGTGATACATATAAAGGCAACAATTTATTGATGTCAGCTTCTTTATTTGAGGAACATGACGTTCAGGTGAATCATTCTTTAAATAAAGAAGTTGACATCCATAGATTCATTCACCTGATGAAGGAGTGACATTATCCCGAAACGTTGTGTTCCTCAAATAAAGAAGTTGACATCCATAAATTCTAGCCTTTATGAGATAAACCTACCTGAGTTTTCTTACTGTGGAAATGATGCTGTTTTTTTCAATATGGGACTAAATGATTTGGTGTCATTTGCAAAATGAATAACAAGTACTGATGACATAACACTTGTTTCTACATGATTCCAAAAGTATTTCATATACAAATATACACAGGAACGATCACAGAGATGTCACATGTTATCTAGTACTGTGTGACACACTGCACATTCCGATAACAGGCAACGGAATCCATATTTCCATTGACTTCACACACCACAATAAATATCTATACATTGTATCTACAGATGCTCCAGATGGAGTCTTGAACGAAACTACTTCATCCCATTCTCCGGCGCCGAGTGAATTAATAAGGAATCTGGTTCTGATAGTACTGAAGCATGTCGTATGTGCGACCCCGCCAGTTGAGGGTGCAGTCTCGGATGATCTTCAGCATGAAGTTGGCCGCTTCTCTCTCATTGGCCTGTGGGGCGAAGCGGCTCCGGAGAAGCTTGATGGTTTGTCCCCGGAAACATGGCAGTCTTGTGTCCAGCATCAGCGACACAAGGGAGATGATCGCCTCTTGGTATGGCCTGGAGGAATCAAATCTTATGTTAAAGTTTCTGATAGAGTGAGTGAGTATGGTTTTACACCATTTTTAAACAATATTTCTGCAATATCACAGCTGGGAACACAAGAAATGGGCATCACACATTGTACCCATGTGGGGAATTGAACCCGGGTCTTCAGCGTGACGAGCAGATGCTACCCATCACCCAGGGTTCTGACAGAACAAACCTTCCTGATTTAGAACTCTCAGTTACACCCTAGCATGCTACAAGGACTAATAAAGTTTGGAACACTAAAAAAAGTGGTTGATAGTATGAGCATAAAACGTTATGCAAAGGTTGGTTGATTTTATCTCGAGATGTATTATACTCTCAAACATATATCTTGTTCTGTTGCATGTTTGGTTTAATATCACGTTGAGAAGTATTATATTAGCATCATGGCAAACCATCTTGATGCAGGAGAAAATTCGGACTGACTGACTGACTGAGTTTGGTTTTACGCTACTTTCAGCAATATTCCAGCAACATCACGGCGGGGGACACCAGAAATGGGCTTCACACATTGTACCCATGTGGGGATTCGAACCCGGGTCTTCGGGGTGACGAGCCAACGCTTTAACCATTAGGCTACCCCACCGCCCCAGAAAATTCTGAAGTAATACAGACCTTTGACATTTACCATTTTGGGCAAATTCAGGGAAAAAAAGAGTGATCTCATAACCTATCACGTAGGAGCATAATCAGGGCTAACTGGATCATGATAACAGTTTCCTGCATCCCCAAGGGACCTAACTCTGTACAGCTATTCAGACTCCATTGTTCAAGGACAACAGGCAATGTTTGTTTGGTGTTTAACACCACACAGCAATATTCCAGCTATATGAAAGCAGTCTGTAAATAATCAATTTTAGCTAAGACAAATCAGTGATCAATAGCATGAGCATCAATCTACGCAATTGGGATACAATAACATGTGTCAACCAAGTCAGCATGGATCCTGTTAGTTGCGTCTTATGACAAGGCCACAGGAACGATCACAGAGATCTCACATAAGTTGCTGAAGACCATTTCTAACCAATTCAGTTCCAATGATACAGTGGGTGTACATCAGCCTACCTGACTGCTAGGTATCCCTGCACACACAACTCCATGAACCACTGGAAGGACGGAGCTTCCATCGTGCCACCCATGATCATCAACATCTCCTCTGTCAGTTTGATGTCTGGCTCCCAGCCAAGATTTCCTCCTGGGGAACTTTCAAACATGAAGCCAAAATCTGCAACAAAATGTCATCCAAAGGTCAGGCAAACAGCCACAAATGAAAATAAAATTATTCTACAAAACAAATGTAACAAAAACATTCTTGTCATACAATCTGTTCGTTTGAGTCATCTCTAACAATCAGCTAAAGTTGCTGAGACCTAACCAGAATCACCATGGAAATGTGTGACTGGTGACTGACCGATGTGGATGATGTGTCCCTTGCTGTTGAGCATGATGTTTCCATTGTGTCGGTCCTTGATCTGCAGCAGGTAGCTGACGATGCTGTAGGCAGCCATGCTGACCACGAAGTTATGTCGAGCCTGTCGGAGACACAGTGTCATGGTTACACAGCTACTGCCACATGTGTTCAAGAAACATTCTGAGTAACTTAAAAGTGAGAGAACTCTTTGATTGGCATTTTAGAAGTTGGTGAGCAAAAATGAAGGCAAGATATTTAATGAATGACAGTTCCATCGTCAAGTAAGAATGAAGTACTACATGATGATGATGATGACGATGACGATGACGATGATGATGATGATGATGATGATTTGAAGATTTTACATGCACCTTCTGACATGATGTATATTTTACACGTGTCCGCCAGGCCATTTAGTGTTTGATTGATTTAGTGTGTGATAATTTTATATGAGTTTTGAAATTTGTCAGAAGGTAGTGGTGTGTGTGTGTGTGTACGTGTGTGCATGGGGTGGGGTGGGGGTGATGGTGATGATGCTGGAATGAGGCATCCTTGCTTTCTGTTGATTGAGGGCTAGTGTCAACAGAACCGCTTTTGTCATGCATAAAGTAGCTTGCCTTTAAACTTAGATAACCAATATTTTTCACATGCCAAGATAACTCTTTTCTGTGATATTAGCTATCAGTTAATCATAGCTATCATAAATGTCAATGGAAAAAAGACAAGGACATTGTAAAAACAAAATTGTCACTGTGGCTACACACACATATTTGTTATGTCAATAATAGTTTTGCATCGGATGTGCGGACATGCAAATGATTTATGTTTCTGATCATAATTTTATATAAGGAAGAAGATGTACAACTCACAGCTTGGAACTCTGGTGAAGATTCATCTCCATATTTGGCTATGAAATATTCATACATGCCGATGTCCGTCTGTCTCCCGATCTGGTCACGTGACTTGCTGTCTGGCACACACTCGATTACACCGCACTGGAATACAACACAGAGAATGTCATACAGGTCAATGGTCACAATTATAACCCCGCACTGGAATACAACACAGAGAATGTCATACAGGTCAATAGTCACAATTATAACCCCCACTGGAATACAACACAGAGAATGTCATACAGGTCAATAGTCACAATTATAACCCCCACTGGAATACAATAACACAGAGAATGTCATACAGGTCAATAGTCACAATTATAACCCCCACTGGAATACAATAACACAGAGAATGTCATACAGGTCAATAGTCACAATTATAACCCCCACTGGAATACAATAACACAGAGAATGTCATACAGGTCAATAGTCACCACTATAACCCCCACTGGAATACAACACAGAGAATGTCATACAGGTCAATGGTCACAATTATAACCCCCACTGGAATACAACACAGAGAATGTCATACAGGTCAATAGTCACCACTATAACCCCCACTGGAATACAATAACACAGAGAATGTCATACAGGTCAATAGTCACAATTATCACCCCCACTGGAATACAACACAGACAATGTCATACAGTTCAATGGTCACCACTATAACCCCCACTGGAATACAACACAGAGAATGTCATACAGGTCAATGGTCACAATTATCACCCCACTCTGGAATACAACACAGAGAATGTCATACAGGTCAATGGTCACCACTATAACCCCCACTGGAATACAATAACACAGAGAATGTCATACAGGTCAATAGTCACCACTATAACCCCCACTGGAATACAACACAGAGAATGTCATACAGGTCAATGGTCACAATTATAACCCCCACTGGAATACAACACAGAGAATGTCATACAGGTCAATAGTCACCACTATAACCCCCACTGGAATACAACACAGATAATGTCATACAGGTCAATAGTCACAATTATCACCCCCACTGGAATACAACACAGACAATGTCATACAGGTCAATGGTCACCACTATAACCCCCACTGGAATACAACACAGAGAATGTCATACAGGTCAATGGTCACAATTATAACCCCCACTGGAATACAACACAGAGAATGTCATACAGGTCAATGGTCACAATTATCACCCCACTCTGGAATACAATAACACAGAGAATGTCATACAGGTCAATAGTCACAATTATCACCCCCACTGGAATACAACACAGACAATGTCATACAGTTCAATGGTCACCACTATAACCCCCACTGGAATACAACACAGAGAATGTCATACAGGTCAATGGTCACAATTATCACCCCACTCTGGAATACAACACAGATAATGTCATACAGGTCAATAGTCACAATTATAACCCCGCACTGGAATACAACACAGAGAACGTCATACAGGTAAATTGTGGTTTACCTCCACCTCCACCTGGATATTAGCTGTATTCTTGTTAGATGAAATTGCACATCATTCTGTACTGACTTATACACATTCAGAAAAGATCTTACCCCTGGAGCTGTGGCAACGACTCTGTATGGAGCCAGGTAGAGCTCCAATCCCGCCAGCTCAAAGATATTCTTGAACATTCCTATAACTTGTAGTGCCAGCATGTCCTGAAACAGTCAGGCATCTTCATCCTTCTTGATTCAGATGTGGGCACAGTGATAAAGATGATATCTTATATTGCACAGAGAAACATGAACACTAATTCTACTGATGGTTTTCGCTCACAATATTTGGAGCTCGGTGATCTATCAAAAATCAGTTGTAATCGTAAACGTGACAACAAAACTCATGTGGGCAAAAACAGGACACTATCATAACATTGGGCAGACGAAACAGGAACAAATTAATACTACGATCAAGATGATCGAAAATACTTCCTGAGACAAGCACGTGAATGTTGTTTACACTGCAGTTTTACAAGTCAGGAAACTATCAGTTGTTTACGTCTTGATATAACAAACATAACAATAAGAAACATACTTTCTAAAAAAAATTCATTTTTTATGTAAATCAAATATTATCTCGAGCTCATTGATAATCGCTTATGCAAGTGAGATCGATTGATTGAGCAGTTATTAGATGAATTCCAAAGTTGAAACCAAGTTAGATGAAACCAAAGTTGAAAAACTTGAAGAGTTTGGAATTGGAACTAATGTAAAGGAAATCCATAAATAGCTGAGACAGCAAGGAAAATGGCAAATGAAAATTATGTGATGAAAGTATTGCTTAAAAATACTTGAGAAAGAAAAATTCTGAAAATTAAAGCCTGGATCTGAAATAGTTGAAAGCAGGAGCAAGTATCCACTATACTGGGGACTCATGCAGAAGCCCCACACTACCTACCTGTCGGACATCATCTCCGACCTTGAATATGCAGGCCTGCCAGTATTCCGGGACAATGGAGTCCTTCGCCAGAGCCTGATTGTCCCCTAGAGCCAGTCTCTCGAGGCCGTGGATACCACAACGCTTCACCTTGAACCTGGCTAGGTAGGGGGCCTTTGCAGCACTGCAAGGAAAAGACATGATGATTAGGTTAAAGAAGAGTGAGAGAAAGAGTGTTCCAATAGTGATGCAGTAGCAGGCTGATGTGGAATCTGGGATCTGAATAGCATTCTAAGATGCTTCGGTGAAAGATCAAAGGCGCCGACAGTACTTTATCAGATGATAATGTGCACTTTTTGCATTATGTCACAATGTAATGCCATTCTAGTCTGCCCCCTCGAAATCGAACAATTTTGCTTTACGTCACAATGTAAGCGACGTCACGATGCATGTCAGTTGCCATCGCCTCGTACAGCCTCCTACAGTAAACTACTCCGTTGCATCCCATTTCTTGGTTTGCAGTTGCTTCATGCAGCTATCGTCACTGGTGGAAACATTACGTTTATGTTTTCAGACGTTTTAAATGTCTCAATTCGACTCAAAAGTTTTCAGCGACACGGTAACATTCGCATTGTTTACATTCCCACAATGCAATCGTGGAATGTCGCTTGACTACTCAGCTTCATCTGAATGTACTGATCTAAACTACTTTGGTAGTAGAAATGCGACGTTCATATTGCCCCATATGGTTTACGCTAATCACAGATGTAATTAAAATAATTTAGAGAAGATATTTAATCCGAACGTAAACTGTCATCAAAGTGTTTATCATTTGTATTTTCTGGTAACATTCGTGTTAACGTAGGGGGGCAGACACATCAATAGAACAGCGCCAGTTAGTCCCGTGCAAGGATTCTTAATTTAGGTCACCGACACCGTCGTTTGTTTTTTGCCTTAGATTAATCGTAATTACCCTTAAAAAGTATTAAACTTGGCATCTTAGAAAAGAAATACAGTTCGCTCTACCACCATGTATAGTGTAATAAAGCACATTTTCGCCCTGAACCATTATAACGTTAAAGCATTCGGACGCAAGCGTCCTCGTGCTTTAACTAGATTAGTTCTGGGCGAAAGTGTTCTTTTGTACACTATACATGGTGGTAGAGCGAACTGTATTTCTTAAATATACTCCACAATCCCCAATGGCAATGCTTGCCTTTTTTGGCTTGGGGGACTCTTTGTCTGTTCTTAAGGTGGGGTAGACTAAATGACAATATCATGTAAATGTTACTTAATAACAGAAAACATGATTTGACCCTTCACAAACACAATGGTCAAACTTCTCTGATAATTTTCAAGACAAATTGTGTCAAACATGCAGGTGTCCTGCATCAAGTGAATTCTGTAGTAGTTATAGTGACAAGATTGTTTTTCTAGAATGACATTCCAAAGAACTTTGGTAAAGCCCATTGTGTAGATAAAACTAGAAACATTAACAAGGTTCTTCTGGGATTCAAACTCACTGTTATTCCAACAGGGTTCTAGTAAGCCTAAGGGACACAACTCTGTGCTGCAAACTTAGGTGTCTTTGATCCCTGCGACAAAAATACATCTCTAGGCTTCAGGGTGGAACTGATAAGGTGACAAGGCTCTTATCAGGTGGTAATACCTTTGGGCTGGATGAAGCCTATGTAGAATACTCTTTTCAGGGAGTTGGGTGTAATGCATCTTAGAACAGTCCTTGGTGCAGTTGTACAGAGCGATCTTAGCACTAAGGGGATCGTAACTAATATATAAACTACCATACCTTAACATAGACTTACTACAGTTTTATCTATAAGGTCATACTGTACAACGGCACCCTAGATCCATAATCAATGTGAAAGGTGATTCTGGACAGTGATCCTGTTCACACAGCAGAAAATGGGTACCCGGTGGGATAAGTAATGTGACTGTAACCTTCTAGCGCCAGTTTGGGTTATCCTGGGTAATAATATACTGTCTGCGCTATGAGCATGCTGTTGGTGTGGATTTAGCACAATATAAATGGACAAATTATTATTATTATTATTTTCCATGATCACTCATGCGTATTTGACTTACCTCTGCATGGGAGTGCCAGATTTCTTGTCAATCTCAGTAACGATGGCCTCGGGATTGGATGGTAGGTAGCACCCTGGAATAAATACCCTTCTTTACCAATCAGAATACAAACCTACGCTATGAAACTGGACACATTGTTTGAATATAATCAATACCATCTCATAATGGTTACCGCCGTGATATTGCTGGAATATTGCTAAAAGCGGCATAAAACCAAACTCACTCACTCACTCATAATGGTTACATCACAGATGTGATTCACTGACACACAACATTACATAGTGAGTGAGTGAGCAGCGTCAGGAGAATAAACCCCGAGAGGACCCCATTTACGGGTGAGATGTAAACAGGTGTGTCACACCATGTGAGGAAAATACATCAAGCGAGTGTGAGAGTGATGGAGTGTTTGAATCGAAGTTTGGTTTCGTATTCCTGATTTGGGAGGTGGGGACTGGGAATGTTTCAGAAGAATGCCATCTTGCTGAGTGAGTGAGTGAATTTAATTTTACGCCGCCGCTGTTAGCAACATTTCAGCACTATCATGGCAGGGGACACCATAAACAGACTTCACACATTGTACCCATGTGGGGAATCGAACCCGGGTCTTTGTCGTGACGAGCAAATGCTTTAACCACTAGGCTACTCCACCAGCCCAACATTACATAACAAATGTGAATATGTAATGTGATATTTCATTTGGATTATTGTTTTTCAAATGATTTTGAAAAAAATAGAAAATGTTTTTGCGCTTTGAGCTGCATTTCTTCTTTCATCTTACAACCCAAATCACAACCAGTGCTTCAGTGAGTGAGAGAGTGAGTGAGTGAGTCAGTATGGTTCTACGCCGCTTTAAGCAATATTCCAGCAATATCACGGCAGGGAACACCAGAAATGGGCAGTGCTTCAGTAAATGCATGATAAATATATGATAAATCTTCTTGGAATCCAAGTTCATGGAAATGTGACTCAACCACCATTTTTACGATGTAAACGTCAATGCCTCCATAAAGTTAGAAGGTTTATATTTTGTCACATCAGGAATAATCACTTCCTGCATTACCCTGTGAATAGTTAACATGAATTATATGTACCAAGTATTCTTTGAAACATGTTCTTTAATATTTAAGCTATATAAACGAGAGTTGCACAAAAGGTAAAAAACTTGCCTATGTCAACACTTATTTAACAGTCTTTGGTACAGATAACTGCTTTTCAGGCATGAAACATTTTGGAAAACTTGTTTTCTGGACGTATGACGCAAGAGTGAGTGAGTGAGTATGGTTATATGCCGCTTTTAGCAATATTCCAGCAATATCACGGTGGTGAAATCCAGAAATGGGGTTCACAAATTGTACCCATGTGGGGAATCGGGTCTTTGGCGTGACGAGCGAACGCTTTAACCACTAGGCTACCCCACTGCCCCTATGAAACAAGAAAAGATAACTCATACAATTAAAGATCACCTCCGTAGTATCCAGCAGCTGGAGCCACAACCTACCTTGCTGCAGCTGAATTTTACTCAGACACTTCAAACATGCTTCATTTCTCTCTGGACCTTTGGGGTAGGGCCTGAAATGTATCAACACAATGATAAAATATATGTCCATCATAATAGCAAGGCCACTTACATAGAGCATACTACATAATTTTATTACCCCAAATAACCCAAGCTGCCTGTGAAGCGCTAGAAGGTCATATGACTCATCCCACCGGGTACCCATTATCTGCTTTTGAACAAACTCATTTGCCTAAGGCGAGACCACATGTGTCACGTGTGCTTTGCTCTGCAGCAGGGCAGAAGTCCTATAAACTGTCCGGAGTCAAGATGGCAAACATGGTCACCCATCCAAGGACTGCCCGTGACCAACGTAGCTTAACTTCAACTGATTTGTGACCTGGGCTCTGTGCACAGTACCACACACTACCACTCATATATGGCAAAGCATGCATTTAAATATGGAAAGTAAAGTTTTACGCTGTCTTAAAACCATGAGATATATCTGTATTGAGTGCTGTTTACAAAACCACTTCGTCCAACCTACCTAATGTCTCCAGAAATTGCTGTGATTTTCCCAAAGAAGTCAAACTCCCTCTCATAGAACTGCAGAGCAGGACCTGCTAATGATTTTGTGATCTCACTCATCAGGGCCTCCAGCTTGTCTCCGATCTCCTCTGTGGAGGAAAAGACACAATATCAGACTGTACATTCAGAACAACCTTACAGGTACATATGTATTGTTAGAAGGCAACATCAAAATTCCAAATGATAACTGAGAGGCATATAGAGTGAGTGAGTGAGTTGAGCATCGAGCATCGATTTGCGCAAGGGGGAACCGATGACATGTGTCAATGAGGTCAGCGAGCCTGACCACCTGAGCCCATTAGTTACTGCCTCTTACGACAAGCATGGGTTACTGAAGATCAATTCTAACCCGGATCTTCACGGGTGTGAGGCATTTAGAAGTTGGAGCAGTAAGGAAGGATAACAATATATGGATGAACAACTTCTTTATTACAGTGAGAGCGATATTTCAGTGTAGGTTCTAACACCGTCATAACTTGCTTGACAAGCTATATGGCGGTGGTCCGTAATACATCGAGTCTGGACCAGACAATCCAGTGATCAACAGCATGAGCATCTATCTACACAATTGGGATATGATGACATGTGTAAACCAGTGAGTCTGATCATCCGATTCCGTTAAACACTTCTTACGACAAGCATGAGTTGCTGAAGATCAGTTCTAACCTGGATCTTCAAGGGTATCATCAGGTGATAAACAAAACCATATACTTGCTTATAAGAATATACACTTTCAGGATTTCAAAATGAATTCTGACATGTTTCTAATGTATTAAGCTTGCTCTGTGTGGTCAGGTGAACAGATCATTCTAACGTGATGTGTAATGTAATGATCTCAGATCTTTACTAAGCAGTAGCTAGAACAACGATCAAATTCTAATGAGATTGCCCCAAACACTAATACTGTAGTAGCAGACAAGGACAAGTGCTAAAGCTGTAAACTTGGGGTAAATGATTGTCTCTCTCACTACAATGGCAGAAACATTTGATTGGACGAGACTTCAATAGCCTGTACGAAGTACTGCCATACAATTTTGGCCATCTACTAAACATTCCAGAATGTTCCTTAGTTCAGTTTTCAAATTTTTAATTGAGAACTTTGTTGATGAAATTTTTCAAAGTGTTGTCAAATTTGAAACAGGAACTGTATAACAGCTTCCTGAATGGATTATTTCAACTTCCTCTTATCCATTTCCTTGGTCGTTTAAAGTTCATGAAACATCATTGGGCATGACTTGTGGTGGGATTTCTTCAGGTTGTTGTGTAGGGGAAGTGAGAAGTAAGATCGGATTCTGGGAATGGGAATGGTAACTGGGGCACACTATCTTAAAGAAAAGTGTCTGTCGAAGACCTTATGGCATATTTTCCAGCACTGTCTGGTGGTGACAAGCGCCACTACATTTCCATGACAACTGAGGTTTATCTGTACCGTCTTTGATGGTGGAGTCCTCATCCATGAACATGTTAGTCTTCATGTTCCACAGCAGCTGGTGGGCCAGCAGCTGGGACGTCTTGGCCGCCCACATGATGAACTCGTACATGTAGCCCATCTGGAACACAAGAGGGACACATTTATGTTTGTTTCTTTAGCTATATGTGATGGCGGTCTGAAAGACCGACAATCCAGTGATTGACATCACAAGAACTGATCTAGGCCAGTAGGAAATGATACACAAACCTGCTGCCCATCTGAAACAAAACAGGTTCACACACTCAGCTGTATGATGGCGATCGGCAAATAAGACACATGAATTGATGTACACCATTAGGATATGATACACAGACATGCAGCTCAACTTACACACACAATTAACCCATACGTGTTTTGTTTGTTTGGTGTTTAACCCTGCACTCAGCAATATTTCAGCTATATGGTCTGTAAATAATCAATCTGAACCAGAAAATCAAGTGATCAACAGCATGAGCATCAATCTACGCAAATGTGATATATTGACATGTGTCAAACAAGTCAGTACGTCTGACCAACTGATCACGTTCGTCCCTTCTTACGACAAGCTGAGGTTGCTGAACACCAATTCTTACCCAGATCTTAGCCATTGCTATGTATGAAATGCAAAAATACAAAAACCATGAATGGGTTTCTTGTTTCCTAACATGCCTGCAAGAGGCTATTTGTTCAAAACCCTGGCTATAGCTGTGATGTTATTGACATGAAGTCTTACCGGGTCATATCGGAGTGCCTGGACTATCTGTGGTATATAGAACAGCAAGGCTTCCTGAAAACAAACACACACAATATTCACTTCTGAAACAACAAATTTCAAATTAAAAACATCATATAACACCTGAAGATAAACACTTGCATTATATTTAAATAATAAACTTTAATACAAATTGATTTATATATTTCACATAATAGTGTGAAAAGATCAAGTGAAAAAAGTGGATTTGTCAGTCAAACAGACTGAAGTCACTAATTTTGTTTCGTTTGAGATTTAGAAACTTGCTTTGAATAAGTGATCAGGTTTACTTTCACTTAGAATAGTGTTTCAGCTACATCATGTCAAGTTAATGTAGGAGAAAGCCCATAGTGAAGCCCTCTTTAGATGTTTTCCACTTTGGAGAAAACTGCAAACACAGGTATGTTGCTGACAAATACCTAAACATAATCATGGCAAATCTAGAATCAGAACATAGGTTCCTGGCATGCCTAAGGGAGACAACTCTAAAAATGGAGTATAAATGATAAAACACAGCACCTTAGTCGATTATGGTAACAAAGCTACCATTGGAGATTCATGCCTTGAAGACGTACAACAATACAACACTCCACTGTACAACATGGAGAGTGTTGGAACAAGTCTTTATGTAATTACAAGTTGCACTTAGCAATATTCCAGCTGTATGACAACGATCCGTAAATAATCATGTCGGGACCTGACAATCCAGTGATTGATATCATAAGCATCAACAATTTGGACAGACCGCCTTCGTGGTGTAGTGGTTAGAGCGTCCGCCCGGAGAGCGGAAGGTCACGGGTTCGATCCCCGACCGCCTCATACCAAAAGACGTTAAAATATCGTACTTGTTGGTCCCTGCCCGGTGCTCGGCATTAATGGGTACAACAAGGACTGGTCGGCTCGGAGTTAGTATAATGTGTCTGAGTGGGGTATTCATGCTTCACTGCGGCATGGTATCTCAGTGGGCTAGCACTATAAAACCAGCTTCAGTCCGGGCTAGTACAAGCAGCCGCACATACACATACACATGCATGCACGTCGTCATATGAGCGAAATATTCTCAAGTACGACGTTAAACCCAATTTCACCTCACCTCACCCCAACAATTTGGACACCATGACATGCTTTAACCAAGTCAACAAGCCTGATCACCCGATTAAATTTTCCACCTTACCCCATTCAACACCGCAGGCCGCTAAAGCGGCCACAACGTTATGAGTCCCCAGACACCGGAAGCCGATTAATCGGCCAGGCAGTAGTCACGTCAAAATGAGACATAATTTTAGGAACCTACCTGACCTATGATTCATATATTAAATCTATCACATTTCACAATGTCTGAAAACACTTATTAAATTTCAATTTATCATATATTATCAGCAGAATTAAAATTATAAACTATTTTTCGCAATGTTATTGAAAACAACGATTCTCGGACACATGCTTCGGCAGCGGGTCCACAATAACATTGTCAAAGAGCAAAGTAACGATGTTTCGAGGAATTCATTAAATAAATTGAATAAACTAATGAATAAAATCAACAACAACATTCATAAAGTTGTCAAACGTACATATAAAATTACTATTTCCATCTTTTTGTGCAATCATGTAATGTAAGTCCAGTCACTGACAAGTGACATCTCGGCTCTCGCCGCCTCAATCTTCACGCTCGGACACGATGTTTAATGCGAAAATATATACATGAAGCATTTTTGTCACAGGTCATAACCTAGCACGATACGTCCAATAAGTTCCATAATTTACGTATAGGTAGCGATTTCTTGCTTAATATGTTCTATATAGCATTATTTTACCCAAAACTTTCGTCTAAATCTAAAAGTTTTCGTTTATGAGGACGGTATCCATTGCCGTAATATGATTGGCTGCCTTAGGTCACGTGTCTGATTTTGACCAAACACGATCCTTATAGCAGACTGTAGCGAAAACGCGTCATTAGAAACCAATTTTTTTCCAATAAAAATCGCTTCTTACAACTGTGAAAATACTTTCGGCAAGGGTTCAGTGATGTTGTTGATGTTCAGAGCTTTCGAACGATACCCGACATCAAACGACTGCCTCCCGTGTTATTCATACAAAGCTAGAAAATGGAGGTATTTTCCGTTGTTATGTCATGTTAACGAGCGGAAAGCCACAGATATCGGGAAATAGGTGACCATACATATTATTTAAGAAATCTTTTTATAATAATTTTCTGATGACGTAAAAATGAAAATATAAAAGAAAAAGGCACAGGCATGTTATGACATGTCACAAATGGAAAAAAATCACCATAGTTTTTGCTTCTTTCGTGGTTTATCTGGACGTTATAAATGTAAGCTTGCATTTTCATTCAAAAATAATTTTATTTAAGTTGTAGTTGTATTATTTGAATAATATTATAAAAATAAACTTCATATTTATCAACAGTAGGATTAGATCTTTTAAATGGTGTATGGGATGTAGTAGCAATAACGTTTTACAAGCTTATAATTTCCTTCATAAACATAGGCTTCATCTATGACCTCAGAGTCTCTGGGAACTCGGTGTCATGGCAGTAAATGCCTCTGGTTGACTGGTGTTGAAAGAGTTAAACAACAAATCATGGGTTGCTGAAGTGCTGAAGGCTACTTTTAACCTGGATCTTCACAATAAGTGCAATAGGTATGGGAGCAAATATGCTTCATCCAATGAGACCACTCACAGATGGATGAGATCGCAGAACTCTAACAGCGAACTGGGCCGTGAGTGGATGTGGAGGGTACAACCGAGAGAAGTAGGAGAGTGCCAGGCCAGGGGAGACAATTCCCCAGGTCATCATGTGAGTCAGCTGAAACAAATGGACATACATTAATACACATCACCAGAAACAACACAACACAATAACCCTGTAAAGAAACAGTTATCCTTTCACAAACATGAGATTATTCTGTGAACTGAGCCACAAATTCAGCAGAGTAAAGGGTGACACAGAGTCAGGGCTCGATTTAGTGCTTCGTTACTTGCACTGGTGCAACCCAATTTTGCAAAGTGCAACCTAGTTATTAGTCTAACTTGCACCAGGTGCAAGTCATTTTTTGAGAAATAAATCAACAATAAATCTAACAATATAAGCATAAATATGTCATCTCCATTTTGTTCTAAACTTTGAATAGCTATGGCAATGAAACATTGCTATTCATAGACACGTCGCGGCTATGATAGCTCAAGATTGTAAACAGGGATCAGCTGTGTCTCTGTGTTGCTATGGTTTCAATGGTACTACATGCCATAATATGTTTATGTGCACCGAAACCTCTGATGTTTTAACACACTACGTTGCAACTGGAATTAAATGGCTGGTGCAACTAGGTTTTTATCTTTGGTTGCACCTGGTGCAAGTAAGTTAACATCTTTTAAATCAAGCCCTGAGAGTGGAGATGTGGATATCTACCTCTGGAGCATCAGCTTCAACACTCTGGGCAGTGACGAGGAAGCTGAGAGCATCTGGGATGTGACACACGGCCTCCGGGTTGGTCCGTACCAGGCGAGTCACCTCCTTCACCAGCGCCTCAGACTGACGGAACCTGCACATATGCGTCGTACATTAGAACATTGGGTCATCCAAGATTCCAAAGTAAGTGGCCTTGGCAGGCAATAATTTGGAACTTCTTTAAGTGACAAATGAAGCTGGTATGAAAAAGAGGAATTGTTTTATGGATAGACAACTTCTATATTGCAATAGATATGACATTTCAGTGTATCAAGCAAATGGTAAGAATAAAAATGTTGTCAATCCATTAAGATTGTTCCTCTTCAACAGTTTGGAAAAAAAACAAGATTGTACTCAAATTGGTCAGTGAAATACCTGTCACCTCTATAAAGTCCTAACATTAGTTATTCTTGGAAAATTTAAAACTTCAGGTTTTGGGAATTTTCAGTGAAAATGCAGGCTTTGCACAAGACAGGTCACCCTCAGAACAGATCTAGAAAGATAACTTTAGTATTTGGATTATCCAAACATTTTCAAATTAATTCAAGAGCAATTATTCACATCAAAACAACTGCTAGGTGAAAGGGTTTTTTATTCTACTTACTCTACAGTCAGTAAAAAACTACTTATCAGAAATGAATTAAACTGCTGGAACTTTCAATTGCATTAATCAAATGCTGTGATGGGATTTAAACCACAGTCTTACCTAGAAGGCAGAAAGACGGCCAGGGCAGGTGAAATGTCCCAGGCTATCCTGGCTGTCTCCCGCCACTGTTTCTCTGTGAATGGTGAGACCCTCCAGGCAGTGATCTTCTCCTCGTCAGGGATCTTCATCTCGGGCAGCTCCAGGGGGTTGTGATGGGTGATCAGGGCATCCACAGTGCTGGACTGTCAGAGAGAGGGTCATGCCATTACTTCTTAATGAAATGGGTCAGATGAAATATAATTTAATGTCAATCAAGCAGTTGTCACTAAGGTGACATAAAAAGCCACCACAAATTATCAAATCAAACTTAAAAAGTAATGAAAGTGAAGGTCGTAGTTTAAAATGAAGTTAAATGTCAACAAAAACATGGCCAGTCAACCTCTCTTGATATCCTGCTCTGTAGCTGTTTAAACACACAAATATTTTCAAGACTCACTTTCACCTTGACATGAATGTTGTGGTGTATGAAATATGCAAAAATAGTAATAAAGAAATTGTTTATAAAAAAACATTCAGGGGAAGTCTTGAAAGTCTATGAAGAAACTCCAGTGAACCGATCCTTGAGATTTCTTGCTGAAAATCTTAATCTGCATGTTAACATACTGAAATCTTGGCACAGTGTCGCTGTGACATTCAATAATTATGTGATGGTCACCAAAATATTCTGGGCCCTTCGCCTTCACTAGATGAAGCTTGGTGTCAAATATGAAGAAGAACCAGTCAATGATTCTTCAGGTATCTCCCTGACAAGCTTAACATGCAGGTTTACATGAAGAAATCTTCAAAGTGTCGCTGTGACCTTGAAAATTATGTGAAGGTCGCCAAAATATACTGGGCCCTGCACCTTGCCTATATGAAGCTTAGTGTCAAAACATGAAGAAAATCCAGTGAACAGTTCTTGAGATGTCTCGCTGACAAGGGTAAAACATTAAAGTCCTCTTGTGACCTTGAAAAGAAGGTCAAGGTCACCAAACCAAACCAAATATGAACAGAATCTAGTCAATGGTTTTTAAGATATTCCAATTCGTTCGGACAGACGGAGCCTAATACTATATCCCCCGCTTTACGCTAAATGCACGGCAGGGGATACTAAAAGATTTATTGCTTTGTTACTAGGTTTACATCAACTGTAAGTATTCTTTGGATGCAGCTTCAGAACATACCAAAGATTTACATGATGGTCTATTTTTTCTGAGTCATTTTGTTGACACATTTCTCTTACAGAAAACAGCAGAACAGAAGAACAGAAGACCAGTAACTAATAGCAATAAGGCTCCAGTTTCATCAACTTTGGATCAAAGTTTTCACTGTCACATGATTTCTGAAAATGTGTGGTTTAAGAAACAAGAATAAATGTTTCCTTATATTTTGCTTTTTACACCACTCCAGCTAAATGACACTGGCTTGATTCAGTACCACACAAATCAGTGATTGATACTACAATGATCCACAATGCCACAGTATGCTGAAACATGATCAATCAAAGGAACCAGTCTATTAGGTGTAGCCCAAGTCACCCAATCTATTACATTTAGCCCAAGTCATCCAAACTATTAAGTGTAGCCTATGCAACCCAATCCATTAAGTGTAACATGTGCCACCCAATCCATTAAGTGTAACATGTGCCACCCAATCCATTAAGTGTAACATGTGCCACCCAATCCATTAAGTGTAACATGTGCCACCCAATCCATTAAGTGTAACATGTGCCACCCAATCCATTAAGTGTAACATGTGCCATCCAATCCATTAAGTGTAACATGTGCCACCCAATCCATTAAGTGTAACATGTGCCACCCAATCCATTAAGTATAACATGTGCCACCCAATCCATTAAGTGTACATGTGCCACCCAATCCATTTAGTGTAACATGCGCCACCCAATCCATTAAGTGTAACATGTGCCACCCAATCCATTAAGTGTAACATGTGCCACCCAATCCATTAAGTGCAACGTGTGCCACCCAATCCATTAAGTGTAACATGTGCAACCCAATCCATTAAGTGTAACATGTGCCACCCAATCCATTAAGTGTAACATGTGCCACGAAATCCATTAAGTGTAATGTGTGCCATTCAATCCATTAAGTGTAACGTGTGCCACCCAATCCATTAAGTGTAACGTGCCACCCAATCCATTAGGTGTCCTCGTACAGATATCTTGGGATCAAGTTAGTCCTGTCATCTGGTGTAAGCAACATACCACAAGGGACAGAATAAGGTTTCTCTTCTTCATGTAGTCCTTGACGAGGCTCGTGCCGGCGGCATGGTTCTTCCTGGCACCTACAAACACAGACCCAGATGTTACCCCTCACACTCCCTGAGCTCACAATCCAATCATCATAAGTTGTTTGTTGATAAATGCCACACTCAGCGATATTCCAGCTAAATGAAGGCAGTCTGTGGATAATCCCATCTGGACCAGACAATCCAGTGACTGATATCATGAGCATCAATCAACACTATGATGAGATGCATGAAACAAGTCAGCATGTGACCATCCATTCCTGTAAATCGCCTTTTTTTGACAAGCATGGACTTGTGAAGGCCAATTTTAACCACAATCTTCTCGGGGAACCAATAGTTGTAGAACACAGTTAATTCTTCATTATTCACTTGACATAAACTTGAATCCCCCTTGATGGAAAACATGAAAATCAACACGATACTAAACAAAATTTTACTGCAGTGAGCTTAAACATTCTAAACAATTTCAAAGCCAGAACTGATCCAGTTTTTCACATTCATAGCATATGCCTGAAATAAATGTACAACATTTCAATTAAACATCACCAAGTTCAAGCTACATTCACATGAAATACCATAAAAATGTTAACACATGATCTGAAGGTGAAATATTAAAAATTGTTATATAATTCAAGACCTATAAACATTTTTGGAACAACAGGCACATGGACAGTGAGTCAAATGTTCCAGCAGTGAAAAAGGAAATGTGACAGTGGCGAGTGACATGAGATGGACGTAATCATGTAACCAAACCTGCAGAGGTTTTCAATTCTTTGAAGAGAGTAGTCCTTGGGGTACATATTATGCATTTTCGGCTGAAAAATGTCCTGTGACAGTTGTATCAATGTTTTTGAATAAAAGATTGAACAATAAATAAACTCTTTTATTTATTATCGGGCCCCTACCTCACGGAGTTACCTCCCTTAAGCATGCTTTCCAACTGGGTAGGCTCCTAGACCCGTTATCATCATTCCTTCTGCTGAATATATCAGTGAACAGAATTGCGGGGGGCGGGAGGCCCTACCCAGGGCGACTCTCTTCAAAGAATTGAAAACCTCTGCAGGTTTGGTTAATTCTTTTCAGAGAGATCGTCCTTGGGGTACATATTATGCATAAACACAGACTCCCAAAGACCCGGAGGCCAGGGAGGAGGAATTCTGTCAAGCACACACAAATATAGCGATCATTATCATGGAAAAAAAATTGAACAGGCAGCCATAACACTCACCTGTCACTTGTCCCAGTTTAAGCTTCCTTGAGAGGCATTATGGGAGGGACTGACAGGGAGGAATTGTGCTCAAAGAGCGACCTCACTAGCATAATGAGACATTGCATGAGTCACGAATGTCAATGAATCCCCACCCACTAAGTGGCTTTTACATAAGAGCACCGTGGGGAATGCAAAATACCACTCACTAGCGATATAGTAACTCCGTAGAAGAATCGAAGGGGGTACAGGTTCTCTGAGTGAGCACACAGTAGCAGACATGTCAATAATGGAATTATTGTACAGTAGCGTCAAAACAAACCAATAAACCAAGACTCACTTTCGGTCAGGGTGGCAGGACACTGTCCACTGGAGAGAACAATGCGACCAAAGCTTCGCCGCGATTACGGGAATGCGTGTCGAGCTGATAATGGCGTATAAGCGTGCTTGGCGGCTCCAAATGGCGGCGGAGCAGATCTCTTCAATGGGGAGTGCGATGCAAAAGCTTTTGAGGCGGCTACTGCCCTGACCGAGTGAGCCTTCAACCCCTCAGGGGAGGCTTGCCCTTAGCCTGATAAAGCGGCACAAATACGAGACTAGCCAGCGAGACAAAGTCTGCTTGCTGCGCTGGCAGACCAGCCTTCCGCCACCGTAACAACAGAACAGCTGGGTACCCGTCACGGATCCCCTGCGTTAGTTTGATATAGACTTTGGCGTCTTCACGGACATCCAGCGGGTGAGTGCTGCGTAGGAGTGGTCCCGATGTGGAAGGCTGGGTAAGAGTAGGAAGTTCGATAGGAGCTGTCACATGGAAGCGTGATGGACCTTGATTCGGTAAGTATCTGGGGCCGAATACTGACCGCGATCCGTGTGAAACACAGTCAGCGCCCGGGTCGGACGACATAGCATGTAAATCGCCGACCCTACGACCAGATGTTACCGCCACCAGAAAAACAGCTTTCCAGGTCAACAACTGAATGGAAATAGCCGATAGGTGTGAGAAAGTGGGACGGACAGCCAATCGAGCACGATCGACAAATCCCAAGGTGGACTGGTTAAGCCTGAGAGCAGGTCGAATCCGTTCAGCGCCAGCGGCGCTATGCGAGAGGTGCTGCCCCAGAAGAGCACCATCGACAGGGGTGTGAAAAGTGGAAATAGCGGTGGAGTAGCCGCGAATGGTCGAAGCCGCCAGGCCTTCTTCCAAGCGAGCTTGCAAAAACTCCAATACTGGGACTAAATCCGCCCAGAAAAGGGATCTGCAATCCCCTATCTGAACACCAGCGGCGCATAAGCGGGACCACCTATCCTCGTACTGAGCGTTTGTGAATCCGCCTCGAAGCCAGAATTGTGTCTGCAACTGCTGCAGGAATTCCAGCGTGCCTCGAGGTTAGACCTGACAGAGGCCAAGCCACCCACTGAATCCGTGGATTTGGGTGGGGCGCTCCGTTCTGAGTGAGAATGTCGATTCGCCAAAGGTAATAGAACAGGAGGCTGAGCCAGAAACCTGAAATTACGGAAACCAGCTCTGTGACGGACCAAAGCGGTGCCAGTAGCACAAGTAGCCGAGCTGGCTGGGTGGACAGCTGTGAAAGGACCGCGGGGAATGAGTGGTAGCGGCGGGAGCATGAGAGCACTTTGCCCGTCAATCCAGCAGGAAGGCGTCGGCAGCCAGCGCCCTGGGTCCGGTATCCGAGAGCAGAACACGGGTGTCTGATCGTCCGCCCGGGCGCAAACAGATCCACCTCGAGCGACCCGTACAACTGGGAGATTACTGTGAATATCTGCCTGTCGAGCATCCACTTTCGTCGCGGGGCCAGGATCCGGCGAGAAGGCGCATCTGCTCGCCGTTCTCCAGCCCGGGAGATAAACAGGGAGTACCTGACAATGCGTACTGAGTGGCACCAGAGGAGAAAGTCCCACGCTTCCGGAGGAGGCTGGGGACACCGTGCCTCCCTGCTTCAGGATGTGCGACATGGCCGTCTGGTTGTCTAACTGAAGGCGGACTACCTGGCCACCGGACATGCTCTCTGGGCGCTTCGAATACCAACCGCACAGCTCTCAGTTCCAACACGTTGATGTGAAGGTGGGCTTGACTTCGGACCAGAGTCGGGAAGCCGACAGACTGCCAGAACACCCCAGCCCGTGAGGGGCGCGCTCGGTCTGAACTGTGAGAGCTGGCGTCGGGATTTCCAAGGGAACCCCTGGTGAGATTCCGACATTTGTCCACCACTGAAGGTGAGGTGTCAACCACTTTCGGGGACTGTGAGACTGCGCTCCAGATCCTCCGTGTGAGTCCACAGCCGAGCCAAAGCTTGCTGTATGGGGCGCATCCTCAACAGCGCCCGCCACACTACAGAGATGCGTTAAGCCATATGGCCCAGTAGGCGGAGCCAAGTCCGTGCTGGTGCCTGGGGCTGGGAGAGGAATGAAGATACCATCTCGAACTCTGGTGACCCGGTCGGGCGACAAGGAAAGCGAGATCCTTGTTACGTTTGGAATCGCGCTCAAGAAAAACCAAGTCCTGGGTGGGTACCAGGTCGGTTTCTTGAGGTTGATGATCCACCCCAGAGAGTTAGAATGTCTATCACTGTGTGAGTAGCATCTTGACTTCGCTGGCTGTGTTAGTGCTCCGAGCAACCAGTCGTCTAGGTAAGGGTAACAACGCCTTCCTTGCGGCGAGCTAGGGTAGCTGGGACTAACATGAGCTTGGTGAACACCCTTGGGGCAGTCGATATGCGAAGGGGCACCCTGAATTGGTAATACATCCCGTCGTAAAGAGAACCGAAGGTACTGCTTGAGCGATGGATGTATGGGTACATCTGAATCACATCCTTTAGGTCGATTGGCGTGAGCCAATCGCCGGGCTGAACAGATGAGATCACCGGCGCCCAGTGTCTCCATCTTGAAGGATGGTACTTGAGCATCGCGATTCAACCCCTTGAGGTTGAGAATCGGACCGGAACCCGCCGTCTTTCTTGGGGGCGAGGAAGTGCGTGGAATAAAATCCCGCCTGTTCCTCTCCCGGTGGAATGCGCTTCGATTGCGGACTTGTCCAGCAGAGCCTGAACCGTCGCGCAATATGTCGCCCTGGCTTGACATGGCGGCACGGAGTCGCGGCGTATGCCGGTGAAGTCGAGGCGGACCTCCGCTTCCACAGTGGGAGATGGCCTATGCTGACCGTGGCCAGCACCCAAAGCGTTGTTGGTAGCCTTCTCCCATTCCGGCAGGAATAGAGAGCTGACCTCCCACTGGGATATGGGGTAGGAAGCGTGTGTAGACCCGAGTAAGCGGAGCTGACTGGGCGTGACACCGCGGCGCGGCAGCCTGATGGGTTAGCGGGAGGTCGGGGCAGACCTCCCAGCGCCCATGAAAAGGCTGGGAGCTAGTCGAGGACTGCTCCTTGCCCCTACCCTTGGCGGACCTGTTCCTCCGCCTACCCCTACCAGCGGCGAAGCCAGCCCGGCGGACTTCGGTGTAGGCTGCACCCGGCGGAGGAAGGTGCACGGGGCCCTTGAGGCGAGACACCAGCGGGTGCTCAACAAGGCCTTAGAGTCCTTGAAGGAGGTAGCTGCAGCGGCAGCCTCCCGTATGACCTGCTGGGCCCCTGGAAGAGAGTGCGGCTCCCAGGCGGAAGGGAGGGCCAGCAAGGTCTGCTGTGTTGCTGCCGAGTACCTGGGCGTCGACAGCCACAGCCTGCGCATCCCCATGACTGCGCACATCACCGTCGGCGCAGCAGACCGCCAAAGAGTGGCGCGAGTGAGCCTGCACTTCCAGCTGGCCGGGCAGCAGCGACATCGCGGCGACCGCGTCGCCAGCATGCCCCTCGCCT